GCTGTTAGAAGTTGACATTTACCAAAGAGCTCTTTGGCAGCTGCTCTAAAGAACAACCCCCTTCCTTGCCAAAAAGAATCTGATTCATAAGAAGGTATTTCAATTTAAAAAAAACCTCAGCCTAACAGAGCTAAGACTCGGCACAACAGGGTACAGAAATAACAAGAAAATGCCTTTCCTGAATCAAGACTGACAGTTTCACCCCATGAGACTTTAAAGAACTAACCCTACTTAACTCTTTTCTTAATCAGTAATCAAGTTGCCTGAATCTTTCATCTTTCAAAATACCATGAACTACTGTGTAAGAAAAGGCATTCTCTAAAGAAAGCATCTCTAAAAATACTAAGTTTGAGTTTATAAACAGAATCTAGCAAGAAAGCATCTCAGTTCACAGGGGTAAGAGAGACTGTTTAAGGGGTCAGGTGGCAGAATACTGTAACTGAAAACTACAGAACAACTTCATATTTCCCAGTGAACAGTCACTAAACAAGAATCAAACCTCTACTTTTGAGATCTTTTATTAAAAATAGGACACATTATAATTATATGAAAACATTCTAAGAATATATTCCAAATTTAAGTTCAAATATTACGATGTTTTAGAACCAGGAGTGATGGTGCACACCTGTAATCTCAGCAACTTGGGAGGGTGAGGTAGGACTGTAAATTGGAGGCCAGCCTCACAAGTTAGCGAGACCATCTCAAAATAAAAAATTAAAAGAGCTGGGGATGTAGCTCAGTGGTAAAATGCCCCTGGGTTCAATCTCCAGTATCTTCCACTCCTGCAAATCATCATAGTGTGTCAGAGTCCAAAGGAAAAAAAAGATAAAGTCTGTTGACAATACTGTGGTACAGAGAAGTCAAATACTGATTCAAAGGTACAACAACTCACAGAAGGGGTGGGAGAGGGAACATTCATGATTGAGAAAAATGGGATAGCAAATCAAGATCACAATGAAGAGCCCCAAAATAATAATCTCAGAGATACCTATCAGACAAAATTAAACACAAAATTGCAAAAAGCCACTTTCACTTTGGTGTATTAATAAATAACTGAAAGTTATTGGAACAGTTAAAGAGTTCTTTTAAGCTCTACATAAAATATTTCAGTAAAATAAAGTACCTCATTAATTTCTAGCTATTAAATTTGTAAGTTTCAAAGTTAATATTAGGAGAGCTAATCTCAGATTACCCAACCAGATAACCTGTGGCATACTCGACCAACTACTGCCGTTCTGAGAAGGACTTCAGCCAGGACAGGGCAATTTCAAAGCATCCAGCATTCAAACCCCAACATGCTTTAGCTATTAGTGGAGTTGAGACTCCTGCCAGGATGTGGCCACCTCAACCCATGCTGTACAACTGATGAAAGCAGTACAGGGGCCCACTGAAGACCTAACAATTGAAGATGTAATAATTGCATCAGCCTTGCTGACATGACATCAAAAGCTGTCTCACTCATGCTCTGATGTCTTCTGCCTGAGAAGTATTTCAACAGGTAAGTGGACAGGTATTTATTTCCGTTAACAGTTTTAATCTTTCTCTACAACTCAAGGTGAAAGGACTTTTAAAATTACACCTAATAAACTATTTAATTATACTTCATCCTAATGTGTCAGGTCAAATTACGGTGAATCAAACATGCACAAGCAAAGGGAAGGGACTGTATACTTTTCTGAAGATTCCCACAGACTCGCCCTATACCTTAGGGATTCGCTTTAGAAAACTAAAAACAAACTTTCGATAAGGCTAGCGAAGACTTTTTTTTTTTTTTTTTAACCAATGCAATATGCATAGGCGCTTTCGGCAACGGGTGCAGATAGAAAAGGATAAGAACGAGGTTTCTAACTTGACCACCTAAACTGGAGGCGACCCAGATGGTACCCCTGAAATTCATCCTGGCCGAATACTTCTCAGGAAATGGTGGAAAAGTTCTGAAACCAAACCGTTGGGACAGCCCACCGTCCACCACTCCCGCCCAGGACCAACCCCGGAAAGCCGACGCCCCTCGCGCCCCGCTCGGTACGTACCGGACTGGGGGCGCTCGCCGGGACCCACCCGCCGCCCGGGGCCTCCGCGGCGGCGTCCCCTCCTGCCGCAGGCCCAGGGGCCGCTTTGCCCGCGCCTGAGCAGTGGCTCCGTGGGCCGSCTCTGGGCAGCCGCAGGGCAAGCGCGGCCGGGCGCAGCGACCAGCGCTCGGCCTGGCAGCTCAGGCAGCAGGGCACGAGCGGCAGCAAGGCCCCGCGGGAGCGCCCCTTACCCGACCGCACCCCTAGCACCCAGGCGGCCGCACGCAGGGCCCCCCACGAGCCGCGCGCCAAGCGCGAGGCCAGCATGGCCCTGCGGCCGTGCCGCGAGGGCCGAGGCGGCGAAAGCTCAGCAGCTCGGGTCACCGGCGAGCCGCTTCTCCATAGAGACCCCGAAGTGCCGGGGAAGCACGGCCGCTGGTGCCTCCATACTAGTTTCAAATCCCAGCACGCTCCGCTTATACAGGTGGCCTGGAACCGCCAAGGAAGTACGCCTTCGCGACACTTTTGCGACACCGACGCTATTCGGCTCCCCAGCGCCCCCGGGCGGCAACGGGAGGTGTGTACCGTTAGGATCCCGCGGGCTTTGCGGAAGTGGTCGGTACCTGGCGCGGCCTCAGAACCAAAGCCAGTGGGCTGGGAAAGGGGGAGAGGAGCAGGGACCCATGTGACTGTTTGGCCAAAGTGGCTGGAAGACAGCAGGCGTCATCTAAGGTAGCAGGGTGAAATCCTCCGAGGCTGGTCGACATAAAACAACCTTTGAGATGTATGTGGAACTTTGGGGGCCTTGTGGGAGGCTTAAAATATTAGTCAAGTATCTGGTGTAGCTTAAGTATTAGCTCTCTTTTCCTTTCCTGCTTTTATTAAAATGAACATATATATCTAGGTGTAAAATAGGAATAATGGAGAATGTCAGTAATAAAAATTGCTAATTGTTTACCCGGGAAGAGAACTTACTATAAAGGCTAAAGTGCATTATTATCTCATTTAATCCTTCCAATTCTAACACAGGCTCCAGTATTACCTTTACTTTTAGTTATAGAAAACAATTAGGTTTAGAGGTTAAAAAAACTTGCTTGTTCTAAGAAAATCCCAAGTAGTCATGAATTAGTTAATCATTGATTATTATGCATTCAGTATTAACATGTTACATATTAACACATTAACATTGTTGGTTATTTGAGGTGCCACTACCATGGAGCTACATCTTCTGCTGTACCAAACAATATGAATGGGTCTTGTGGCTTCCATTACACCCTTCCAGGGGGTGGTCTGTGATGGCATACCCACTTTAAAGTTGACCTTAAAGACCATTTAAAATTGAACATAATTATAGACCTGAGCATTTTATCAAGATTATCTTTAATTTCTTATGCACATGTTGAAATGCTGATACTGAGGGAAAAACTGAATTTTTTGTTCTAGCATAGTAGAAACAAGCTCTGGAGTCAGACATTTACAATTCTCCTAGATAGACATGGATTTTGAATAACCCTGGTAAGGGGAAATTGGGCAGAAGAAAGGAGAGGAAAGCCTAGTCCAGTAATAAAATAGTAATAAAAGCTTATAGGAGGGGAGGCCCCCTATTGGGCAGGAAGTGAAACATAAACTTYGGGGTTTGTGACTGAAGGGTTTGAAATAAAACTTTTAAGCTGATTGCAAGAGAGAAGTAAACAACTAGCTGTTAGTTTGGCCCTGTAATTAGTGGATGCCAAATAGACAATACAGATTCTAAAAGAATTTGGAAAYATTTCTTCTGATAAATTTGGTTTATAATCATCTTTTCCCCTATAACTTTACCTAATATTATTACCCTTTGATCTTTCAAAGATCCGAAAGATCCTATTTCCTCTTTAATGTCTACTACTTTTGATGTCATCTCTTGAGTTCTTATGAAACATACTAAGTCTGTTTAGTCTTTAAAGACATAGTTACATTACCATCTACCTTTTCAAAAAATCAGCTTTTAATATTCACATTGAATATTAATCCCACATTCATTTTAGTTTTGATCTTATTATTGTTTAAATATTCAATGTACATTGTTTTTTTAATAAATTTTTTTTTCATTCATCCGGTTTGCTGACTTTTAGTATTTTCCAAATGGCTCACACTGCCTGTATGTTAAGAGTGTTTGCTGGCTACATACACAAATGCTAGTTTGGCTGGCAGCCTAGATCCATTTTAATTCACTCACAAAATGTGGAAAATTCTGACATAAGTGGTCCAGTCTCCTGAAGTAGAACTGGGAAAACTCCTTTAGCATCCTATGAAAAGCCTTCTTTAATTGTTTCTGGATGAGGCTTCTCTTTAGAATTCAGCAATTTAAAGATGCCCATGAAGAATCCCTTTGTTGCTCTTCTGGTGTGGGTAGGGAGTATTCTTTAGTCTTTCTGCAGAGGTTCCTGGTATGTAAGTGACATCAGTGGGGCATAGGGGCTGTAGCACATTCCTATTCAGCATCCAGTGTGGCAGTAGGATGGTAGCAGTTTCCTTTTCAGGCCAGTTCTAAGGCATGGTTTTACAAATTGCTTCTGGAAGCTTATCCTCTTGGATCATCTGCCTTCTTACAATTCTGTAAGGTAACCAAAATTCTTCCCCAAAACTTCTTCTCTTACTTAATCAAATTCTACTGCTTGCAACCAAGAGTCTACAAAAACTAGCCTGTGGGTCAAATCAGACACCCTGCTTATAATTACTAAATAGTTATTTTTTAAAAATTCAGAATATTTTATATTCTCAACATGAAAGTTTTATAAAATTCAGATTTTAGTGTTGAAAATTTTATTGGAACATGGAAAGACTCATTTGTTTAGGTATTATCTGAATGTTTTCCCTGATGAACATCTAATATATGTAAAACTGAAATATTAAAAAAATTCAAAATTTCAACTATAAATAATTTATTTCATTTAGATAAAACAATGTAAATAATTTGTTTTTTGTAGAATCTATAAAATTTTAACACATGACTATCACTTTTTATATTATAACACTTTCTTCCTAATGTATTACTTTTAGATCATTATCTTTCAGAACAATTTTTTACATAGTCTTCATTTTTGAGACAGTTTTAAATGGAGTCCTTGACATGGCAAAGCCATTTCACATAGTTTGAAGCTGGTAAATCTTTGGGCCTTTTTTCAAGAGGAAACCTTGGTCATTGAGTGATCCAATAAAGTTTTCAAAATCAGCAACCTGGAAGAAAACATCAAAAAAAAAAATTAGCCTTTTAAGTAATAGGCCAAAATATGACTTTTTAATCTCTCCAATAGTAATATGTAACTATCAAGTTTCTTGGGGAAATAAAATTATTTGTACTTTTTACTGTACCTCAGTATATTTTTTAGTGTAAAAACAAAAATTAGACTWGCTTTTAAAATTAAGTAATTTTACCAAAACATGTAAACTGTTTTATATGTTTAAAAATGCAATTACATTGATTTTTCCCTAGAACTCTGAAATAGGAAGAACGGATGGAATGATGTACATATAACAGGTGAAGAAACTGAGGTTCAAAGACAATAAGATGACTTGCCCACAGGGATTGTCAGCAATCCCCATATGGAGACTGGGTCTTGCTATGATGCTTCCCTCTAGCTATGAAGATGTTGAAATAACTTTGTAAAGAGGTAGGTATAAATCTTAAATAAAAACTGTTTTTGTTCTATTATACATTAATGAGACTCCTGAAATTATTAATAAAAAAGATTAAGTATTTAGTTTATCATACCTGAATATTTAGCTCTTTGGCAATCTGTCGAAGTTGATGAAATTGAAACAGATTATTATAAGTTCTTTCAGCAATGCTGTTGAGAGCAGAAATAAATCTTTTTGCTGTTGACCTATTGCTCATTCCAGAGCCATGCTGTGATCGCTCAAAATCTAGGTTTCCAAATTCATCAGAGTAAGTTCCTAGCATGCTTAAGGAAAGGGAAAGAAAATGTTATCCAATATAGCATGGCTATAGGAATTTTTGTTCTGGGTTTCTAAGTGTATTCCAGCAACATGGGAGGCTGAGGTAGGATCACAACTTCAAGGCCAGCCTTAGAAACTTAGCAAAAACCGGTCTCAAAACAAAACATAAAAAATTAAAAAGGGCTGCGGATATAACTCAATGGTAAAGCAGCCCTGGGTTCAATCTCTAGTACAAAAAAAAGAAGAAGGAAAAAAAAAAAACAGAAAAACCTGGAAGTAGCCATGAGACTCTCACTTATTTTTTGACTGACCATTTTGAAATCCAGTATGGTATAGATTTGTTTAGGATAAGAACATTTGGACACAGTTACAACTGCTTTTAAGAAAATTTTAAATTTGAAAAGAGAAACACATAAAAGCAGAGTTGATAAACTACAACAACACCTGAAACATTCTTTTTAAATTATGAAAAGAAGAAATTCTAAACATATTAAATTTAGGTTTTATTTGGTAAAGATATGTTCCTATTTCCTAGAGAAGCGGCATCTGGCAAAGAAAAGACATTTTAAAATACTCTACAAATGAACTAGGTTTATGCTGATGCGCAGTAATGATGGTTAGATATTACCTCCAGTTCTCTTTCACTTTCTCGTATTTTTACAATATCACCAAAGAAAGAAATATGCACTTGACAGTGACTTTTAGCTGGAAGTCTGAAAACACCAGTTAGAGATTAAATTAACCAGCCTATAACCTAGCTTTATTGCCAATTCCCTAACTGTACAATGAAACAGATACAAACTCATAGCCAGGTTAAGAAGCAAAGGTGTTATTTAATCAGAAATTAATCAACTATGTATCAGTCACCTGCTAGGCAGTGGGTTTATATTGGTGAACAAGACAGGTACAATCCCTGCACTTACGAAGCTCATAGGAATGATCTTAAAGTCACTTGCCGCAGCCCGGCTGCAGCAAAATAACCGGGGGTGAGGAGCAACTTGTGTACATCGACACAGCAGGAGTGGGAGTCGTTTATTGTAGGACAGGAGGGGTATATATACATTCCACACAGCTTATCTTAATTAACATAAACTAGATACAGCAGTCAACCAATAAGGAATCTCCACACTTAATGGCTCAATGGCGTTACTTCACAAACTACTCCCTCTGGCAAAATGCCAGGCGCCATCCTGACTTGTTTACAAACCCTAACAGTCACTAACAATAAACTTTCATGGTGTTCCTTGAACAGATAATAGCCTACATTAAAGAAAACAAACTGAACTAATAGGAATATAAGACTATAATAAAACAACAAAACTTATGATGAGTATTTTCTTCTCTGAAAAGTATACTTTTACTTAGGCTTTTATGATTATAGTATGCTTCTTATAAGGTGTCAAAATGCTTTAGGTTAATAATTAGGTAACACTAACCTTAATTATATATATATTTTTTTACCATAGGCTATCCAATTAAATCCTTCCCCAAACCCTATGATTTAGAGACTATTATTTCCATTGTACATATGAAGACACAAAGTCTTGGTAAGGTTAAGTGACTTGCCAAAGGTCACACAACTAATAAGTGGCATATTTGGAATTTTAATCCATGCTACAATGTTGCAGATATGAATAAAAATATGTAAGATATTTGAGCTACTTTCCTGAAATAGAAAAAAAATCAAAATAATCTCCAACCTTTAAAGGTTGCTCTATTCTGTTATGTTTCCTAGTGTATTTTCAATTTTAGAAGAATCTTATATGTACCATTTACTAAATGCAAACATTTAATTTTCAAAAAATATACAGCTATGTGTCCTGCTAACTCAGATGAACTATGTCACAGTTTACATTTTTTTTAGTCAAGCTTAGGCTTCCCAATTAAAATGTAATTTTACAGTTTCAAAAACCACTTTAAGGGCAAACCTTCAATGAAGCTGAAGAGATAAGAAACTCTAAAACAGAAAATTTAAAGAATGAACAATGAWTACTAAGCTCACTTTTAGCATTAAATGAGGGCCTACTGTGTGCCAAGCATGATTCTGGGTCTTGGAAATACACTGTGGTAAATGAGACTGAGAAGGTCCCTGCTCTCATAGGCTAAGGAGAAAGCACATTTAGTATAGAAAACAGATAATCCAATGTAATCTCAATATGTTTAACTGGGTCTACCATGGAAATAATGCTACACACAATTCAAATCATTTGCAATCCATTCTCTATCCTCACTGTTGCTGACAAACTCTAACATACTGAATTAAAGAAAAAGTCCCTCCTCTTCTATAGGCTACTTATAAGAGAAAAAAACAAGCTCAGATTATTGCTCAGGCCTTCAGGAGGCAGTTTGGGTTCTCTTCTAATCATATGCATACCTGCAGAGACAGCTGAGGGAACCAAGCAGCCTCCATGTATGAGGCAGTACCAGACTGAGGATAAAGAAAACTAGATAAAGTCTTTCCCCATTAGGAAAGAGAAAAAAGGTTCTCTAGTTGAGGGCTGTTGCACAATTTAGAATGACAGCACTGAGAATTAGACCCTAGAAATTCTTTGATGGTTTAATTTTGCAATCTTCTAATATGGGATCCAAAATTTGCCAGTTTTTGAAGGGTTCAGTTTATGGTATGAGCCAGAGGAAAGAGGGGATATTCTCAATATTAAAGCTGGCACTGAGACTAAATAGTGTCATTGAGTGTCCACTACTATGCCAGAACCACATTTATCACCTTCAATAGCATCACTGAAGACACATCAGAGCACAATCCTTTGTGGTGTGTTTTATACAAGAGACTGAGAGCAGAGTCTAACTTGCCTAGCAGCTCCAGATTGGACTCTACAGCCTTGTTTTTCCAGCTGTGAGGCACTATAATTCACAAAGAGAAACAACTGGGCAAAGCCACCTAGTTCTGACACCATGCAAGCCCCAGAATATCAGCAACTAGAAAACTAATACATCTACCTTTGATGAAATAGAAATGACTTAGCGTAAGATAAAATAATCTTTAACATACTTTTGGCCTTGCAAAAATAGAATCCTAATTGATTTAAATTTTATTTGCTGTGAGAGCATATTGAAAAAATAAAATTAATACCTAAATTATGATAAAGTTGTGAAGATGAGGGCGGAACTCTTCTAGGCAGTGATATGGAACAATAACCAAAATACATTCTAAATGAAATCAATGTTTATATACAATATACATATACAATATATACAATATTCATATATAATATACAATTGCATATGGTATGCAACCATCTGTCTGCAAAGGGGAAAAAAGAAAATACACATATGTAGTTGTGATGAGTATTTTGTATCTGTAAGTCACACAAAAAATTGGTAATATTTGTTGCTACTAAGGCAGGAGGAGGAAGAACTGGATAGCTATTAAGCATGTTAAGAAGAAAGCTTTTCTACTACCTAATTTTTAACTTTGAAATTTTGAATTTTATTATAAATGTATTTAAAATTTAAAATTTTGGGGGAAAAGAACACTAAAATAATTAGCTTTTACTTTTGCTGATTAAAAAAATAAATACATGTCTAAGGTATCCATATATACTCAATTAAAATAAAAACTTTTCTACCTTCTAAAAATCATGATCTGCCTAATGATATAAAATGCAAAGGATACAAGAGAGCACTGTTTATCAAAATTGAAATATAATTACCTTGTAAGCAGTAATATCACTTTTAAGAATATATTAAAATACAATTTACCCACAAGTGAAGCATCTTATATAGAATATTACTTATGTAGCACTGTTTCTAATAGCCAAGAATCAAAAATATTCATGAATCTAGCAATGAGGGACTGATTAAATAAACTACAATGTATCTTACAACAGAATACTATGTAACTATTTAAAAAGTTCCCTATTACTTAATAAAGAATGATCTATGGATACAGCCTTAAATTAAAAAATGGTACAGAACAGTGTAAACAGTATGCTATTTAAGGGGAGTAATGGGTGTCTCAGGAGAAGGATGAGTGGTAAATGGGATAAAAATAAGCATTCTCAAAATATGTTTTTTTAATTTCAGAACCATGTGAATGTATTACCCATTAAATTTTTTTTTCTTTTTTTTAACTCTCCCCACCAACTTCAGTACTAGAGATTGAACCCAGAGGCACTCTATCACTGAGCTACATCCCCAACCTTTTTTTTTTTTTTTTTTGAGACAAAGGTCTCCCTAAATTTTCCTAGCTTACAATCCTTCTGCATCAACCTCCCAAGTTGCTGGGATTATAGGCATGAAATACCACACCAAGCTCAAAAATTACCTAAAGATTTTCACAGCCAGAAATATTTTAAACCAAGAAAGTATAATTTCTTTGAAGGAAAATAAATAATCTCATAGGCAAAATAACCTTATTAACAATATAATTTGAGATGGGAAGATAGATAACTATCTTTTCATTTTAAAAACATTTAAAATTTTAAACTCACCTATATTTCATAATTTGAACTATATCCTCAGCATCTTCTTTGGTTGCTTCCTCTCTTAATTCTAACCTTGCTCGTGCCTTTGAAAAGAAACAAGAATTTTAAAATAACAAAAGTTAAATATGTTTACTACTGTTTGAGCATGTATGCTATGTCTAACTTATTTATTCACTGTACATAACAACTGACTTTTGAGGGAGATAGGAAAAGTCAGAATTACAAAAATAATTAAAAAGCTTGAGTATAAAAATAACATATTTAAAATACTGATAAAACTTATTCCTACCTACTAACATCTTTTTCTAAGAGTGTTCATTTCAGAAGATTTTATTATTTGAACTACCAAAATTCCTGTAGCATCCCAAAATGTGAAATGAAAAGATATTGCTGTTAGAAAAATAGGTATTATCCTTACAGACCTATTATGTAATCAAATCAAACACCTAAGTACTTGGCACATTTCATGTTACCAAATACCCAACATGGACTTTTCAGACACTTGAGGAATTTCCTAAGTGCCATTAAAAAAAATAAGGGCTGGGCATGGTGGCACATGCCTGTAATCCCAGTGGCTTGGGAGGCTGAGGCAGGAGGATTGAGAGTTCAAAGCCAGCCTCAGCAACAGTGAGGCACTAAGCAACTCAGTGAGACACTGTCTCTAAATAAAATACAAAATAGGGCTGGGGATGTGGCTCAGTGGTCAAATGTTCCAAAGAAAAAGAAAAGTTACATAGTGTAAGTAACTGGTCCAGTGCCTAGAAAGAAATCACTATATGTTGACATGTTACAGTTGTGACTAATCTTTTTAAACACTTATAGATCAATTTTTAACATCTTTTTAACATCTCTCCATAGGAAGAAAAACTAAGTCAGTTGTGCAGCAATTTGATCAAAATGGAAATTACATCCACCCTCTTATTGCCAAAAAAAAAAAAAAAAAGTATGAATGTAAAATTAACAAACCTCTGTTAGACGGATCAAAGATTCCAGCTGCCTAGTAGTGATTGGTGAGCTATTTAACCGCTGGCTCTGTTTCCGGAGCTCCAGGTAGAAATCTTGAAGAACTTGAGCAGCTTCTGTGGACAGCCTTGGGTAGACATACTGTCGAGCATAGCCAATGTACTTTCTCAATAGCTGGTGAGGAATCAGATCTATTGTTTCTCCAGGAACCACCTAAAGCATGATAGAAAGGCCCAAGATTACAGAATAAGCAGCAATAAAATCTTCCTGCTAAAATAACTTGTTTAGAGAAATATATAATTCTAAAATATGTACTTCTAAACAAAGAAAACATTATAGCTATAGTTCTCATTCTCACTGACTTAGATGATTTCAGTTTACATAAACTCTAGTATCATTGTATGAAAGTTTATATATTATTGCTCTACCATAAACCAAACACTGAACTTTTTTTTTTTTTTAATCTCTTTTTGGTTGCTGGGAATTGAATCTAGGTCCCATTATGGTGCCATAAACCCAGCTTCCATCACACACTGAACTTTCAAAAGAACCAAACTGAAGGATTAAGGAAAAACATGTATACCTTTAGTCTTTCTGATAATGGTTTCTCAGAAACCACTTCAAGTATGGAAGTATTTGAATCTTGACTATTCATACGAGCTACTGTGGCACTGCTAACAGTTCTCTGCTTTCCAGCTCTTATTGCAATCACATGTTCAGAGAGTAAGTGATCGTGCTGCTCATTTGGGGTATCTAACAGGATAAAGACCAAATCGAATCTGGATAGTAGGGCACTCCCCATTCTAGGAAGTATGAAAGAAAGAAGAAACAATGATTGGAATCAAAACAAGTAGAAAATCTAGATTACTATTTACTCACTTGTTTAGTGCCCAAGTTCCATGTAGAACTTAAATCAAGCTTTAGGTTAAAGACATCAGCAAATAGTTTTTTGGATTCAACATATCTATTACAACCTTCAGTATATGCATGAGACAAAGATGACCCTAACCTTGGTAGGCTGAGGATACATTGCCCTTTCCATACCCTCAAAACCACTTCTCCTTTATGTTCTCTTATTACTAACTGACAATGTTATATTTTCTATCAGAGGCTGTATTTAATTGAGTCTTAAGCTTTTATATCTTTTTTCTAACCAAAACATTGAGATTCTCAAAGTACTTGTCTCATTCAGAAGCAAAAACCTACTTTTTCTTCAAAGTCTATTAGTCATTAGAAAGAAAATGCAAAATGTTCTATTTAGTCATCTTCTCTGAACCCATCAATCCAGGTAACTTCAGCTTAATTCACAATAGCTAAACTGTGGAAGCAACCTAGATGCCCTTCAATAGATGAATGGATAAGGAACTATGGCATATATACACAATGAAATATAATTCAGCATTAAAAGAGAATAAAATCATGGCATTTGCAGGTAAATGGATGGAGTTGGAGAATATCATGCTAAGCAAAGTAAGCCAATCCCAAAAAACGAAAGACCAAATGTTCTCTCTGATAAGTGGATGCTAATCCATAATGGATATGAGGGAGGCATGAGAAAAAATGGAGGAACTTTGGTTGGGCAAAAGGGAAGGAGGGTAGAGAGGGGAGGGTGCAAGGGGGCAGGAAAGATGGTGGAACAAAATGGACATTATTACCTTAGGTACATGTATGACTGCACTTATGATGTCACTACATTGTGTACAACCATAGAAATGTAAGTTGTGCTGCAATTGTGTACAATGAATCAAAATGCATTGTTGCCATGCATACCTAATTAAAATTAATTAATTAAAAGGCATTAGAAATGAAATCTGGAGCGACTGAACAATGTGATGAAGGCTCCAAAACAGGTCTATGATGCCACTAAAATCAGAGTCCAAGTGTCCTATATTTTTATTCAAGAGGACCTTTCTGATTTTTATAATACTTCACTAAAGAAAAATTCCTAATAGATTGACATTTTTGGTGGTGGTAGCATGGAAATGCTCCAGATCCTCAAGTATAATTGTGTATTTAATGATGTATCAAAGACTATTTTTATATGAAGTATAAATCATTAAATATTAAGAAGTTAGCCAGGGTGATGTTACACACCTAGTAGGTCCAGTTACTGGAGAGGCTAACGCAGAAGGTTCACTTGAGCCCTGAGTTCAAGACCAGCCTGGGCCACACAATGAGATCTTCATCTCAAAAACATAAATAATAAAGCCAGATGCAGTGGCTCACGCTTGTAATCCCAGTAGCTTGGGAGGCTGAGGCTGGAGGGTCGTAAGTTCAAAGCCAACCTCAGCAACAGTGAGTCACCAAGCAACTCAGTGAGAGACCCCATCTCTAAATAAAATAAGGCTGGGGATGTAGCTCAGTGGTTGAGTGCCCCTGAGTTCAATCCTAGTACCCACCCCCCCAAATATAAATAAATAAAATTTTAAAAACTAGAAAATTAGCTTTCTCCCCTCACTAGATTTAAGGTTCTAATTTTTCATATGAAGTACTCTAGTCTTTTTCTCACTTTTGCAATACTTAAATCTGTTTTCCACTTTCCATATTTCATCCAAACTGTTCAAAACTAATTAGAAGAGAAAGTACACATGCTTAACCTATAAACATTGTTTTTTTAAAAAGTGAGATCACAATATATTTGTAAGTATGTAACATGGTCTTCTCAATAACAAAGCATAAAAATGTTTTTCTATCAGTTCATTCAAAGCCACTTTCATTCTTAAATTGCTACTCTCTACTGTGCAATTTTAATATGGTTTTAAGTATTCTGTTTTTTCCCAGTGATAAGAGTGGTTCAATAGCCACCCTAAAGTATATCTTTATGCCTTTTTTCTGTGACCAAGACTCCCAAAAGTAAAATGGTTGAAGCAAATGTGATTATATATTTACAACATTGTGATAAACATAGCAGGTCTTCCCTCAAAATACTAATGGTGTATGTGAGAATCCATTTCCCCACTCCTTTGCCAGTAATGACTGTTGAAATTTAAAATATTTGTCCATCTGGTAGCTATCAATGGTACTACATTGTTTTTAATTTCCACTACTCAAGCACATTTTGTATACTAGAACTTTTAACTTCTGTGAACTATCCATTTATATCCTATTTTTATTGGTTTATAAGGGTTCATGATCTTAAAGTCATAAATATTTGAGTTTGAAAAGACTTACTTCAAATTCTCAGAAACTGTTTTGGCTTTATTGTAGTGTCCCCCAACTGGATTTGCAGCAGCAATAATGGAAGTTCTTGCAGGAAGGCTACAAACCACACCAGCCTTAGCAAGGCTAATACTTTGCTGTTCCATGGCTTCTAACAGGGCTTGATGTTGGTTCCCCATCTTATCAAATTCATCTATTCCACAAATGCCTACAATCACAGTAGAATAATATGGACAAAAAATATTTTTCTTTGGTCAAGTTCCAAATTTTGTAAGATAGATTATTCTACAATAAATAATTATTTCAATTTGTTCCTAGTTAAAATTTTAAAAAAGGTCATACAATGGTTAAAAAAAAAAAGGTCATACAATGGAAAATTACTGTTTGCTTTATATTTGTTTTAAGTTTTATGTGATATTTATTTATTCACCACTTTTCCATAGCATTATGTTGTAAGAGTTGCAAAAATGAAGATATAAGCATACTCAAAATGCTTATGGACTTAATTCAAAAATACTTAAAAAATACTTTAAAAATCCTATGAGATATGCATAATTATGTAAGATGAGTTTTCTGGAGTGGGGAGTGGTTAAAAGGAGATCTTGTAGGGATAGTGGGACAGCATAATTTGAGAGGAAGAGTATGGGCCCTGTAGAACAGAAAATCTAGGGACAGCTGTCAACAATACCAGGTTCTAATCATACACTTGCAGGAAATCACTTAACCAACTTAAATCTAAAACAAAGCACCACCACTGACTGAAGGCATTTTATGTGCTAGGGCAAGAATGTTATATAATCCATAAGTTAATGAAAACCTCCTAATATCATCTTGTAATATCTTCTTCCCACTTCCCCAGATCAGTTAAATTAGCTGTTAAGGGGTCATATCTGAAGGACTTTGCTGTGGGTTAACCTCATGTATATCTACTCTATATCCAGGTAAACTTTATTAGCTAGCTCAGGGGTGCTATGAGAAATAACTGCTGATTAGTCTTCTGTATAAATTTCAAGATTCCATGATCCACTTCTTGTTCCATTTACTGGGTTCTCTAATTCATGGAGTTAAGTATCTTTTATGTCAAATGCCCTTCATTTGTCTCTATAATTGCCCCTCTAATTATTTTAAACTTTTTTCTTTTCTTTTGCATTTGCTGAGATTATCTTAAACCTTCCTCTGTACCTTTAATTTCTCCTTTGGCAGGATTAGTGCTATATGCTGCTTTAGTAATTATATTGCTAGTCATCAACTTGCTATCTATAGTGTCCTTACCACGTCCTCCACTTGTTTTATTTCATTAAATTCATGAACTTATTAAATGTTTGAAAAATTCAGGGTGAATTTTCATTGGTTCCTTCAATTACAATTTTATCTAGACTGGGCACTTTTTTGACCCATTTTTTTCCTCTTTATCTACAATTTGCAGACTAGGGTGTTAACCCTACCTTTCAGTATCCCAAACATTTGGGAGAGGAAGCAAGGGGGCTTTGTTGGACTTTGGGCCACCTTTCTTACTCATCTCTCTTTTGAAAAGGTTCACCCCTCACTGTTGAGAATGTGTCCATGTTCACTACAGAAGATCCCTGTACATTAGATTGTCTCAGCTATTCAGTAAGGCACTCTGAATGATAATGAGCCTTCCCTATGATTTTTCCTTGGACTTGGCAGTAGGGTATGTGAAAGCTTTATCTCAAATTTTCCATGTGTTGCCTATTACTCTGTCTGCCCACACCTCCCTGGAATCAATGGTGTTATTAGAAATTCTCAAAATGACTAGTACTTTTCCTCAGAGGTAGGGATGGGATAGGAACAAAATCAAAGCTACTTCTTCTCTGGCTGCTACTTTGCAGACTGTAAAGTAGGAGACAACAAACTTTTAATATAAAGGAACAGTTGTGTGTGTGTGTGTGTATGTATGTATGTATGTATATATATATATATTCCAGTTTTTCAGGCCACTACTGTCTTGTACATTCTTGGGTTTGTTTGTTCTTTACAACCCTTTAAAAACATAAAAACCAGTTTTAGCTTGTGTACTGTATTAGAACAGAGACTGCAGGCTGAACTTGATTTATAGACTGAAATTTGCTGACCCCTGATTTTAAAGCATTAAACTCATTTTCCTGTTCAAATATAAATGTAAAATTATGCAATTTAACATTTTTTGGTCATTTCATTAGATGCTGAAGAAGGGAAGTATTACACAGCTTTATTACTTGTTTTATCCCCTGAAAGTCTTCAGTAAAGATTTTAGTAGGATCCTGTGTTTGTTTCTAGAACCCAATCTTTGCTGACCTTTCTTTTGTCTTTTTATTTTAACAGTGCTATGTTCACCATCCTATCGCTAACTTATCTACTTATATTTGGTAGAGATGACACTGGTTCTTCACATTCTGCATTTTAAATTCCAAATTCCATTAACTGTCTATACAGCTAAACCTCCAAATCACCTTCAACTTCTAAATGAGAAGTTTTATGATTTAACAAAAAGTATTCTTTTCATATACTTATTTCCTTCACCTGGTATCTCAGCAAAAATACTCTCACTTCTGATATGCTATTTTATAATTTTGAGTTCATTAACTCAATAAATATTGAATAACTTCTACATACCAGTACTATATTCTAGGCATGCAAGATATACTACTAAAAAGACAATATTCCCTACCCTTGTGAAGCTTACATTATTCTCAGTTGACAGGAGGCAGACAATTAAAAATGTAAATCATATGGGAARTGGTAGGTACTATGGAAAGAAAAAGTAGTGTAAAGAAAAAAAGTAGTTGCTAAGGCAGCAACAGTGTGAAGGATGATGCTATGACTACTTAAAATATGTTTAGAAAGACTTGCTGGGGCAGAATGCTTGAGCAAAAACATGAGGTAGGAAAGGAACAATGCTTGCAGACATACGTGGGATTCCTGGGATTAATAACAAGGGCCCTGATGCAGGAATATGATACACCTGGAATTCTGATAATGTTCAAGGTACAGCAAGGAGGCTGGTATAGCTAGAGAAGAGGACAAGCAGTAGGTAATGAGGCAGAAGAGGTGATGAATGGCCAGAATGTGAATGGCCCTTGACTACCCTCATGACTTTGGCTTTCACTCTGATTAAGATAGGCAGCTGAGCAAAAGAATAACATAAATCAAAGTTTTATGAGATTACTCTACTTCATTAAAAACAATAGAAAGAGGTAAAGTCATTAAAGGTAAGAATCCAAGTGAGAGATGATTTTATGTCACAGACCAGGGTAGGAGCAATGAAGAAGTAGATACTGGATAGATTTTAAATGTAAAGGAAGATTTGCTAAGAAGTTAGGTGTGTGTATGAAAAACAAGTCAAGGATGCCTCCATGTTTCCTGATTTAAGCTAATAGAACTATGAAATTATTTACTGATGAGGAATAGGCTTAAAAGGCAAGATGAGGATTTTGGCTTTAGACATGTTACGTTTGAGAAATTGATGGAGATACTATATAGATAAGAATATGTGCTTGGTGTTCAAAGGAGAAAAGATTATAAATTTTGGAATTTTTAGCAGACAAGTAGGTAAGCAAAGCCATGAAACTAAGTTCAAGACCTCCAATAAAGTAAGTATAGACCTGGAAGACAAAAGGTTCAAGAACTAAGTACCTAAAGTACCTACTAGTTAAGAGGCTGAGGAGATGAAGATGCACTAAAGACTGAGAAGGAATAGCAAGTGAAGTAAGAAGAAACCTAGCAAAGTATGGTGGCCTGACATCAGAGTTTCAAGTGTTTCAAAAGGGAGGAGTGATCCGCTGTGTCAAATGTGGATGACAATACTGGACTTAGAAATAATGAGATCACTAGCAAACTCAAAGAATATTCTCCATTGGACTGGAATCTGGACACTTCCTGACACATGCATAAGGAACATGTTTTAAGGCTCCTTAAGTACTAACGTTCAATGTGAGGATCCATTCTTGCTGAGTCCTACTATCACTCAAACCCTGGAAAAACCCTAATGAGATGGGTTGAAATATAGAAAAACTAAAATTCTAAAGTGACAGCTCTAAACTTATATGGCAAGTCTCTTTTTAGTATAGGATGACATCCACTTTCTTTTGAGTTCAAGGTAACCAGACTATTTTGAGCTAAGTAACATTAATACATTCAATATGTATTAAATGAGCACCTAAATACTAGTCAATGTGAATAGTCAATCAACAAAATATCTAAATCCTACTCTATAGAGAGCTTACAAGCTCCAAAACTTTTAATTTTTATACATAATTGTATGTGCTAAGAGATTCTGAAAATAAAGGACTTAAGTTCCAGTTTTAATTCTATAGTCTAAAAACTTTATAAGTACCATATTTTCAATTATGAATTCTGACATTCACTGGCAACTCACTGGTTAAGCAATGCTATCCAAATGCCTCTTGGACCAAATGTAAACTGAAAAAAGAAACCGTTTTTTGGAAAAAAAAAAAAAAAACAGAACAAAAACACAGAATTATTGATTAGTGGGAAGGGAAGGGGGAGGGGAATAGTAAAGAGTAGAAGGAATCAGACATAATTTTCTTATGTTCATATATGAATACACAACCAGTTTAACTCCATAACATGTACAACCACAAAAACAAAGTTATACTCCATGTATGTATAATATGTCAAAATATGCTCTACTAGCAAGTATATCTAAAAACAACAACAACAAAAAATAATTATTGACTAATATCCCTGTTATCTCTCACCTTGATCACCAAGTACCAGAGCCCCAGCTTCCAAAGCAAAATCACCAGAGGAACTATCTTTTGAAAGAGTTACAGTTAGACCAGAGCTAGTCGTAGTGTTACCACAGACATACACACCACGTGGAGCAACATTGCATACTGCCTACAAAACAAAACATATAAAAGAATCAACTCAGAGTAAAAGAGAAATGATAGCAAATACTTAATTGCTCACAAATATTAGCTACATGCTCAGAATTCTCTTAGGAGCTTTACTATACAATCTTTACCACTATGAAGGGAAAAGTATTCTTATTTACTGATGCAGAAAGTAAAGCTTATAGTGAGAATGAAGTGAGCTATGAAGGTGAGAAGCCAGGATTCCATCAGACCCAGGCAATCTAACCCTAGAGTTTGTGGTCATGTCAATGTTTAACACAATTCCATTTTATGCTCATTTTTCAAGTACAAACAGCAAATCCTGAATACCAATTTTAATTTTAAAAGCTCAATAATGCTTTAAAGATCAGGTAATAAAATTGTTCAATATGTGTTTACCTTCTAAGCAGATAAGTTACGATAGGTCAGAAAAGTAAATAGTACTGAATTAAAAGCACCAATCTCTGAAGTCAGGCAGACCCATTAAAATCCCGGATCCACCATATACCAGCTATGTAGCTCTTGGATCTCACCAAACCTTAACTTACGAAATAGTGTATGCAAGGCACTTAACCTGGTACAAGCACATCAACTCAAAGCCATGGTATGTGGATATGCACTGCCTGACTTCAGGAGATAGCATTTGCATTATTTTGTTTTTTCCCCTGCATTATAGTTGTATATACTGTTGGGATCACATTGTCATCTTTGTCAGTGGTACACTCTAGACTTGTACAGGGAACACCCCAAAAGACCCTATGACACTGGGTCAAAAACAGTTATCATTTTTTTGTTACTTGCAATTCCATATTTTTTAGTCTTTTTGAAAAACCTATGATACCCTCTTTTTTAAAAAAATATTTTTTAGTTGTCAATGAATCTTTTATTTTATCTATTTATATGCGGTGCTGAGGATCAAACCCAGAGCCTCACACATGCCAGGAAAGCGCTCTACCACTGAGCCACAACTCTAGGATACTCTTGAGAGTGAGACAGTTTACTAAACAGAGGAAAACAAGTTTTAAGAGGTAAACAGCTCTTAACTGCGTTAGCCTAATTTTTAAAAACCTGGCTTAGTGGGGCTTATATGCAATACCCTCCTTTTTTTACAATGTTTAATTTCCATTAATATTACAGCTTCTATTTTAAAATTCAGTCAAGAGTCACAAAAGCATTTATTCTGGTTCTAAACATCAAGAAAAGTGCTAATGCCAACACTGCTTTAACACTTGTTGGTACTAAAACACACAAGTACAAAAGAAAAGAAAGCTGTAACAATGCAAATCTCCACATATACCTTCTCCTGCATATTTTGGTGAAATATTCTGCTTTCATTTTTATTGTGAACTTTGTTTCACCTACAACTATGTATTGTGCCTCCATTGTCATGCTGTGGCAAGGGCTCAGAATAGATTTTTTTAAAGTAGGCTTAGCTCATCAAAAGGAATCAAACACGGATGCAATACTTAAATGGAATTAAAATAAAGACTGGTTTAATATTCAAGCATAGGGAATAAAGAATGACTCACACCTGAGGGACACTGGAGTTGCAATGGCAAGATCCAAGCAGTTCTCAATCCTGGCTGCATATCAGAATCACTATGTGGGATTACACATGAACAGATACTGGGACTCTAACTTGGAGACTCTTAATTCAATTGGCTTGGGCTGGCCACAGTATTTTCAAAGAGCTCCAAAGGTGATTCTTAGGGAAAGTCAGGGTTCCCAAAGATTCAGGAACTACAAGACTACAACTCACAGGGAGCCCTTGGCCTGGCCACATTTTCCCCACTAGGCAGGGAGGAAAAGAGTCAAGGGCATTCTGATTTAAACCAATATGTATGGCTGGCTTACTAGGCACCACTCTGAGGAAACCACAAGCACTCCAACAAACAGCATCTATTGGGGCCATCACAAACCCAGGAGGGAAAAAACACTGGACAAAATCTTCTCGGTGACCAACAATTAACTGATCAAAGAAGTTTGCTTTGGGCTGGGGATGTGGCTCAAGTGGTTACGCACTCACCTGGCATGCATGAGGCACTGGGTTTGATTCTCAGCACCACGTAAAAATAAAATAAAGATATTATGTCCACCTAAAACTGAAAAATAAATATTAAAAAAAAAAGTTGCTTTGCTTTATATTTGGGAGAAACATGGAGAAGTATAAAGACAGATCCCTTGCTTCTATCAGATTGTTCTTAAAGCCCAATACAATGTTTATGTGTTTGTATGGAGACAGAATGGGAGACTCTGTTTTACCTCCTTAACTAGCCTGTTTATATAAGAGGTCATATCACAATAATAAAGAACAGTTAACATTTCATTTCTTTATAGTTGAAGTATCAGACCAGAATGCTTGTGCAGCTTGTATGTCAGGAGACTGATTCAATTTGAAAATAGGGTCAGATACAAGTTATATGTTATTCAAACTCCAGCTTACTTCTGCCACCAAACAAAGCAGATCCTCTAAAACACAAACATTCTATGCTTTGAGAAAATTCACTTGTCAATAACTCATACATTTTTACAAGCAAAAGATCGAACACTAAAAGGACTGATTTTTTTTTACCTGTAGCATCTGACTCTTTCCCAAGCCTGGATCTCCAACAACAAGGACGTGTGGGTCTCCTCGAATTGGTATTCTGTTTTTGTCATCTGCATATTTCTGGGTACCTCCAAAGAGTGCTAATGCCAAAGCTGCTTTAACGAGCTTAGGTATAAAAGAGATAAATAAATAAATAAATAAAAACCAGGAAAAAAAAAAAAAACAACCACAAAGATGACTAGCAAAAGGAGTATTCTTCAACACTGATATGTTTGAGGATTTTTTTAAAACATAATTGAAATTTAACTTTTTTTATAATAAAAATCTAGAAATGAACTATAACATAAATGCTTAAAAAGTAAAAGCCTGAATGCATTAAAACAAGAAATGTATCTTACAAACTGCTAAGTAAAGGCCTAATTTGCAAGACATAAATCCATTCCATAAAAGTGAGAAATATTTATGGTCCCTACTTTAACTTAGTCACTTTTTAAAAAAACTCATTCCTATGAAATAAATGTACTTGATAAGCAGCTTTTTCTTACAAGGGGCTATAGTCTGCCTCCCGTATCATTAATTCATGGAGAATAAAAATTCATGTTAAAATGAGTAGCTATTTTTTAACAGAGTAGCTTTTTTTATAAAGTATTATTTTGTTGACTTTATATGTTTTTTAAGTGAAGATGAAGTAAAATACTTACTTCATGACCAAAAATCACAGGGCAAAGTGAGCTGGAAAACAGAATACAACTTATAAATTCTAACTTATAATTCTTAATCCAGTTGATATATTTTAGAGTTATTTGCTTAACTTGTTTTATTTAGAACCAAAAAAGACAAGTATAAAAAATTTACATCCCCTCAAAAGTAAATTTCTAACAGTTCTTAATCTATAAAAGGAAGAATACCTTAAAAAGTATGCTTGTGGAAGAGAGACTTGATATTTGCAAAACACTGTAAAGTAACCAAATATGCTATTGATTTTCTGACAGAACTAGCCTTTAAAATGTACCATACTTAAGATCTTCCACTTTAGACCCATCATCACATGTATTTTATATGAAGAGGCATCTTTAGACCTATATACCCAAGTCAATGAAAGAAGGAGACAAAGGAGTGAGCTCAGTACAAAATATGTTAAGATGGGATAAAATTTCATTTTTTTTTTAGTTCAATTCTGAAAGGGTCAGATTAAATAAGAATCTGAATATAAAGAAGTGTATTTACATTTGTCCATTTTATATACAAGGAACAAACAAAAATGGACAGGGTGATAGAAGAATACAATCAGGAGTAAAATGAAACTCTTTATCCCCTTTAATATGTGTAAACACAGAAGAAGTTGGTGCCCTGGTCATAATCCTATTGGTACTCACTATTGTGCATGTCCTTGCCTGATTACTGCTGGTGTCCTACCAAGCACCTATACCTGTATTCAAAAGGGCTTTCTATGGCCACAAAAGCACCATCACGCAGGATAGGCAGGCCAGAAGTGCTGGTGTGTTTCATATCCTAGGAGGATCCTCAAACTAGGGCCTTGGGGGGTGGAAATTGAGGCTACTTTTATATAGTGTTCCAGAAGCCTCAGGAGGATTATGTCCTGAATGCCAGTGGTAACGTGTTCATTAAAGCACCATATCTTTCTCTGTATTACTTCTGTCTTCCTATATCAGTATTTCCAGGACCACCTCCCAAATAAATGATGTTTAACCAAATCATTCCTTCCAAAGGAATCTAAATACAGCTTTTCACTGTCTTCTCCCTACTCCTTTCATGGTCCTCCATTTGTTATCTAGTATGGGTCAATAAATTTTTTCTTAAAGGGTTAGCAAGTAAATATTTTCAACTTTGTAGGCTACCCTGTCTCAGTCATAACTACTCAATGTGTAGAGTGAAAGCAACAACTGACAATATGTGAATGAACTGGGTGGGCCTATGTTCTACTAAAACTTTATTTACAAAAATAGGCAACTGGCCTAGTTTGTCAATCTGCTAGATTAATAAATGTAGGACCATGAAAAATTCTAGTTCTGATGCTGAAATCACAAACATGGGAGATAAAAACAAACTCTGGGAAGAAAACCCAAGTTTTCACACTAACTTATCTTCTACGAGCATGACAGAAGGACCATTGAAAATATTCAGTTTTCATTTATAACCAATAAGAAGAATCAAATAGGTGTTTGGATTCTCCTTGCGTGCCTGCTCACATACAACTCACACCCAGATCACTCCCAACCCTAGGTTAGAGCATCCTCTCTCTCATGGTAGGTATGGACCATTATTTAGATGGAAGTCTCTGAGGAGTTAAGAATAAATAACCCCTAAGTGCAGAAAGAAAAAACATCAAATTCTCCTAGAGCCCAAAGTATAGGTGAAAAGGAAAGCAAGACAAGTAAAATTTTTCTGATAAAATCCATTTTGAAATTTTCTCAGTTCTTTATCTCTCTTAGGTACATCTATTATTCAGTCTCTTGTTTTGCCCCTATTTCCTCAAAAAATTGTCATAGAAGTATCAAAAATAAGGCTAAGAATGTACCTCAGTGGTAGGGCCCTTGCCTAGTATGCAAGAGACCCTGGGTTTGATCCCAATTGATGTGTGTATAGGGGACTACCAAAAAAAAAGAGCATGCACTGTTAAGCATGTTACAAAATCTGATTTAAACCTTCAGAACAACCTTTTGTTGTAGACTTCTTAAGATAGTAAATATTCCTTATTACTTAAACTTGAGATCAGAAATTCTTTTTCTGTAAAAAGCCAGTGGCAACCTTATAAGCTAAATATATATTTTCTTAAAGGAGCTGAGTTGTCACACGTACTCAACTCTGCCTGTAGCACAATTGTAGCACAAAAGCAGCCAAAGACACAATGTAAATGACTGAGTGTGGCTGTGTTCCAATAAAACTTGATTTATGTACACTGAAATCTGAATGTCACATAATCTCATGTGTCATGAAATATTCCTTTCTTTTCAACCATTAAAAAATATAAAAACCATTCTTAGTTAATGGGCTATGCCCAAATGAGTAATGCACTGGGATTTTGTCTATGGACTCTAGTTTGCTGACCATTTTGACTAGCTGTTTTTAATGTGTAACCAAAGAGTTCCCCTAACTTGCATATATGTAAAAAAAAATTTCAGATACCCTCATACATACTTGACAATAAGTTTAAACAGGTTCTCTTCAGCTTGAATCTCTTGGATAGCATAAAGATCCTTAAGTGAGAACTCCATCAATGTTCCATGCTTACAGCCATCCTCAGAAGTCTTTGTTTTCTGTCCTTTGCTATTGCTAACAGAATTTGCCTCAATGTACAAAAGGAACATACATTTATCATTCTTGTTTCGAGAACCTGTAAATTCAAAATATTAAATATAATAATTGGCATTCATTTGCCCTACAATGACTTAACTAAAATGTTAAAGTCACAAAGAGCTGTAAGTAAACATTTATTGTAGGAAACCATTCTCGCACGTGATTTGAGCCACCTCCCTAGCTGGGTGTGAGGCGCTTAGACAAGCTATGTCAGAGCCTTCCCCACCCTTCCCCAGGGGCCAGGGCTTGTCCGTGTGGGGGTGTGACTGACCACTGAACTGAAAACAATCACTGACCCTGACCTTGGAATGCTGCCCCCTACGACCTTCATTGGATGGAATTTTCCCCTGAATTTTTTGTTCCCCAATAAAAGTTCACTCCCTGGCTTGCTTCTCTCTCTCTTGCTGGCCTCTTGTGTAAACCTCGCTATGCGTCAGGGGCTACAGGCAGGAGCTGGGAGGAGCCGTCTCTGAGCTGGGCAAGAAAAAGGTAAATTGAGAGTTATGTATCTTTAATTTGAACTCACTAGTTAATTTCTGTTTCGAACCTCTAGTATGAAGCTAGCGTACTGGTCGTGTGGCTGAATTTATTTTAAAGGAAGTTTCATCTATGTAAGCAACAAGGAATTTACTAAATGGTTTGAGATTTAGAAGTATGAAGAGAAAAGATGAATACTAACAAATCATTTTTGAGAGAATATTAAAGAAAAGAAAGAGCCACCCCATACCTTCTTCAGCATTTGAGACTTTGACAATTCCAGTAACAGTCACTGTGTCTCCCGGTACACAGCTATCCACCAGGTCATGCACAAGTTCACATTCTATTGTTCGTGGAATTCGACCTGCTTCTCTCTGAGCATCGGACATAAGCTCCTGAATTCTAAAAAGGTGAAAAGTTTTCAGTTAGAATACATACTTACATTGGGTTCTTTAGCATATTAACTATTCCAGATTCACACAGTACTTAGCTAAAGGGCAGATTAGTTTAAATAAGATCAACAACATATCTAAAATTGCTTTAGTAGTTTCCAATTCAGGATGGCATAATGAACATGCGCATTTGTCTAGCCTTCCTCTGAGGAGCAATCAAAATAAAAAGATACTAAAAAAGCAAAAAGTTGTTTTGGGGCATGCAGAGGTATCATCAGTAAATAGAATGTTAGTAAAATTTTTGAAAACAGCAAGTAGGAAAGTACTGAAGGATAAAACAAATAAAATCCAGAATGCATGCAGACAAAAATTATAAGGATACAAGAGAAGTGGCACTCAATGTTCTCAGCAGAACCCTAGAAGAGGTTCCAAATTGAAGATGGCAGGAATGGAGAACAGGAAGAAACAGGATTATCAACTAAAAGATAATAGMTATTCAGAATTTTTTTGGAAGGCAGGTAGACAGCCACGTAGGGAAATAATGAGGACTTAAGTATCTGGCAAAAACTAGAGCATAGTTCTACAGAAATGGATCTCTTCCCTATATATGGAAAGTTAGTGTCCAGTGAAGCAATCAATGCTCCAGAATAAAGCCTTCTCATTTGGCATTTGAGAAGCTGAAACCAATTCAAAAACACATAAGTCAAAATTTCTACTTTCTTATTCAGGAATGAGGCCTCATGAGAAAAGACTTCTGCCTACAAAATAGCAAAGGAAACTTATCCTACTCAAAATAATTCCTCTTTTTTTCATCATATATTTAAGAATAAAATGGCAGTAATTCAAGGAGAAGAATATTAAAAACAAAAAACAGCTAAGAGTTTTGAGAAAATGTTGCTGTTGTAAAACAAAAATAAGCTGCTATAAAAAGGAATTATGAAAAAAGTAAAATTAGGAAAATTAAAAATATGTATATAAAAGTCAAACTATAGAAAACAAGAAAAAGCCAAAGAAATTTAGAGAACAGCATAAAGAAAATGGAAGCATGAACCAAAAGTTAAGACAAATGAACAATCAAAGGGATGCATCCCATAGGAAACCCAAAAAGAGAAGAAAAAAGACACTATATGGTTGAAGATGACTGCAGGACAAAAGGACCCTTCGGCTTAGGAGGATGAAGACATGACTAGATAACCTATTTCAAAACCAGATAAACTGTTTCAGAACCTTTAAAGAGATTACAAAGGAAGGAAAGTCCAATCCCCTCAAAGGAATAAGAATCAAACCTCTCATCGACAGCAGGGGAAATGATGACAAAACAGACTACTTTGGTAGTCAGGCAAACTCTTACACAAGCTAGGATCCAGAGATATTTCCAGACATGCAAGAACCCAGAACTTTTTACCAGCTATGCACACTTTCTAAAAATTTACTTAATAATTTCTCCAGAAAAATAATATTTAGAATTATTAAAAGTAGAAGACAAAGTCCAAGTTGAGAGGCCTAATTTCAATTGTGCAATGAAGAAAATTCCAGGATGAAGTAGGACTGCAGGTCTAAAGAACATGAGATCCAGACTCAAGTAGAACTCAGGAAGGTACATTTTTAAAATTTTCATTTTATTAAAAAATAAAAGGTGAACTCCATGCATTCAATAATATATTTAAGAAAGAATGTATGGTTTGGATATGGTATATCCCCCAAGGATTCAAGAATTCAGAGACTCCGCCTAGAGATGGGGCCTACCCTTCTTGCTCTGATTTCCACGTCTGCCATGCAATCTCTCCTTGGGAGATTATTATAATTAGAAAACAGAAAATAAACTTTGACGATTTAATGTAACATCAGAATGTCTAGAAGTAGAAGTCATGAAAGTTAGTATAGCATCTCTAATGTTATCTACTCACCAAAAGTGGATGCAATAAAGCCAAGGAAGAGAGAGACCAAGAATATTATTCAAAGTTGTATAGAACTGCCCTTTATAATAATTGGATTTAAAAAGAAAATTTATATGTGTAACATTTTTTATTTAAATAGTTAATGTAAGTATAATCACAACATTAAAATATTAACTTTGGAATACATTCTCCCAATTTTCTTCAGAGAATGGCCAGACACCATCCATCTAATCTTCATAACTTCAAACCTGGCTCCATGGTTAGCTTCGTTCACCCTAATTGTACATTCAAAACTAGTAGAGTAAGTGCTGGGGAGTACCATTGGCCAAATTATATTGTTATATGTAACAAATTGCTTCATTATGTACAACTTTCTTGCACCAATAGAAAACGTGTGTCTGTGGGGGGAGAACTAGCAAAGTAAAATAAGAAGTCTCAGAATAACACATGTTCAGATCACTTTGCCATAAATAAATGTTTATAGCTATTTCTTATTAAAATAGCATAGTTTTACATGTATCTCCTTTGGAAAAATTGTAAAACATAAGTAAACAGAAGGAATAAAATGCCTCTGCCTCCTTTGGTGGAGGCAGGACACAATCCTATGCAAGAGTCTTAAACACTTCCTCTTTTATAAAATGAGTTATTTATAAAGATCTCTGAATAAATAGTACATACATATATGCTATACATTAGAGTCTTGGTTTTTACAGGGAATAATGGGGAGAAGCTAGGACAGGGCTTAGTAGCAAGCCACCTCATCTTTTTCCTAGGTTCTATTTTTTAGGACCATCTCCTATTTCAGCCAGGTTTCCTAAAGAACATTCTAGGCTTCAAAACTATCCGTTATTTTATATTTAGGGATGAGTTATGGGCCTGTGGCTAGGGAAAAAAATGGGACAATTAATGGATGAAAAATATAAACAGAAACAACTAATAGATTTGTGTGGATAGTGGGGGGAGCCTATAGGAACATAGTATAAAATTCCTAGTGGGCAATGAGAACATGAAATCAAATAGGACCACCTCTAAGAGATTTTCTGAAAACTTCAATACTATTTCTATCACAACTCATTATGCAATGAATCATATATCTTCGTTCAATGAATCACATAATTGAAATATAAAATGAACTATTTATCAGTAGCAATAATTCATAATGTTTACATCCTTTCTGGCATCCAGTAGAGAATAAATTTCAAATAAAGACAGTTCCCATTTCAACATACAAACTTGTCACTGAATAGACTTATTATACACTTATCATTTTTACAGATAAAAACTACAGTACAATACAATAAAATTATAGATTTACTCAGCAGTATGAAAGATCCTAAAACCTGCCCCTTTTTAAGTCTTGATTGCTTACTTGATTGACTGCCAGTCCATTGTTACTGTAAGAGGAGAACTACGGAGAGCAGCAAAAGACTTCCCTCGACATGCAGGCACAGGACACTGCAACGAGTAATTCACATTCAGATGTTGATAAACTACAACCATATCTCAGGAAAATTCAAGATATACTTCATTAAAGTAAACCGACTAAGAGCTGTAATGTTCCATTTCTACAGAAACAGTTTAATGTCATAAGCTTTCAAGGCATTTGTCCAGCTGGTCTCTCTCTCCCCCTGCTCCTATTCTTTCAGCTGTAGGGAGGCAGGCACCTTGCTCTGCCTTAGACCAGGCACTCATTCTTACCTCTGTGCCCATGTAGTCTCCTAATTCCATAGGCTCCTTGAACACTCCTCCTCCTTCAGTCTATATGTCCAGCCCCAAAAGCCTTCCCTAGGTCTTTAATCCCCAACTCTTTGTCTATCTTCCTTTTGTGCTGTTCACATAGTATATTTCACTGTACCACACAGTCCTCAAAATAAAAGCAAGTTCTGGTCAAGTTTTCATAAGTCACTTGCTTGGCATTTGGACCACAAGATACAATTATAAATTCAGACACAGTGGCAGATTTACAAATATGATTACAATAATACATTCCCTCATGGCCAAGATAAAACTATAGCAGCACATAGTAAAGTACTTCCTACAACTAGGTTGAAATAAACACAGAATACACACACTTGCATGGATGTTTTTCTTCTTTCAAATGCCCATTATTATCACACATATTTTAGTTAAATCATTATTGAGTCAACATCGTTTATCTCTATAATTTTAGGAGCTATGGGAAGATTTAGAACTATAGGACCACTATGTTTCTGCTGATACTTGCTGGGACTGTGGATATATGTATATAATTCCAGATTAAATAATTGAAAAATTCCGAAGTATTTGCCTCTTGGACAGAGGAATGAGGATATTGGGGAGAGGTAAACAGTGTGACTGTACTTTTGTTTTAAACTTCACAATTGCATCTAATTGGTTAAGTTATGTGTCAATAATAGAATAAAATTACTTTAAAATTAATGTCAAAAAAAATAATAATGTATTCCCTCAAATCTTTCCAGAACCTTACTATTCTCCCATCAAGAGATAGAATCTATAGCTACTTGGGAGGCCGAGGCAGAGGACTGCAAGTTCAAGGCCGGCACGGGTAACGTAATGAGTTTCTGTCTCAAAATAAAACAAAACAAAAAAAAGGGCTGAAGATGTAGCTCAGTGACAGAGCATTTGCCTAGTATGCCGAAAGCCCTAGGTTCAATTCCCAGTATTGGGGGTGGCGAGGTTAGTAGTGGAGAAAACACAAAACACATATGGAGTCTTAATTCCTTCTCCTAGAATTTGGGCAAGTTGGTGACGCACTCTGTAGTCAACAGAATGTTGACAAAAGTGATGCTGTATGACTCTAAAGGCTAGAATTTCTGTCTATCAACTGGACTTTCTCACCTTACAGCTATCAGCACCATATGAGCAGACCAAGCACTCTGATCTGCCAAACTCTGTGTGAAAAACAAACAGCTCATGCAGAGGCCACACAGAGAAAACAGAGATGCCTGGGCAACACAACATCTTATTGTTCCCAACTCCAGCCACAATCTACCTGATTATATCTCCAGAGACCTGGAGCCTTAACTACACAGGAGAATAGTTCTTCCAAACTCCTGACCCACAGAAATAACATGATTATTATCCTAAGCTCCTAAGTTTTAGGGAATAGCCATCTTTCTGAAATTTAATCTGATGTCATTTAAAAATTTCTAGGGCTGGGGATATAGCTCAGTTGGTAGAGTGCTTGCCTCACATGCACAACACCCTGGAACTGAAAATATAAACTCTGGGTAGTGGGTAGAAAAATGTCTATTTCTGTATTTCTTGTATCCTGAAGTATTTAATAATTAAATAAAAATCTCTGTGTTCACAAACACTGGGAAATAGTATCTGTAAACTGATTTGCCTTTATTACCAAGATAAATAAAGAAACAATTATAAAAATATATCACCTTTGTTGGAAGATTGTATTTTCCATCTGGAAGAGGGAAACTTTGAACCTCTCCACATGCAGCACACAGAAAAGCCATCTTGGTGCAAAGAGGCTTTATATTACTGACACGAACCACTGTCCCTCTTAGAGAAATGTATTTTCCATAGTAATTTGCTCGGACATTCTTGAGATGTGTCAAGGGCTCAAAGTTGTATATCCTAAATATAAAACAGGAACATATATATAATGAACAGAAAGTTGATGTCTGTATTTTCACAAGTTCTTTTTAGGAACAACTATGGAATTCCCAAACAATATCACCATTTATATATCAGAAATCTCCCAAGAATTAATTATTTTTAAAAATAAAAATGTTGCCAGGTGAAGTGGCACACACCTCTAATCTCAGCAGCTTAGGAGGCTGAGGCAGGAGGATCACAAGTTCAAAGGCAGCCTTAGCAAAAACGAGGCACTAAGCAACTCATTCAGACCCCATCTTTAAATAAAATATAAAATAGGGCTGGGGATGTGGCCTCAGTAGTCAAGTGTCCCTGAGTTCAATTTCTCCTCCCCCCAAAACAATGTTAAGTCTTCACTTTTCCTATTCCAATAGGCTGTTGTCTATAGGGGAAAAAAAAAAAAAATTAAAGACAAAAGCAAAAATATAATGCATATAGGAAAACCTATATATTCAACAACCTTTGGATTTCTAACTTATTTTTAAACACCCGCTTCTTAGCATACCTTCAATAAATTTGGAAAATAAAAATAAAATCCTGATGATTTCCCTATTTATTCCTATATATCTCAATGAATTTAAAATGTAGAATACAATAAAGATGAATTCAAGAATTCATTTATTCCCTGTGTCTAGTAGAAACATGACAATTTAACAATACACATACATACCACTTAGCATATTATGTGGATTATTAAATTTGTACATCAGAGTCTTGATTAAGTACATATCTAAAATCAATATTTACAGGTTGGAAAGTCAACCTATTTGGGCAGAAAATGTTGATTTCTGTCATGATCATTTTGAATAATTTTCAATAGGTTCACTGTGGGTATGATGATCTATGAAATTAGCAAGAACTCACACCATTTTTACTATTTCCTTGTTTGTATAAAATAAGGTTCTCATCCTTAAACAGTCATTAGGCCATTTTCTAAATAACACCAGTAAGTTGCTCACCTTGCATAAATATGTGGCACATTTACCATTGTTTCCCCATCACTAGACAATCCTTCTTGGGCTTGTAATTCAGCTGCATGCCTTTCAAGGTCCTTAGTTAACACCTAAACAGAACAAACATTTACTCAAAGTTAATAAAGTATCCTCTTTAAGCAGAACTTTATATAGAGAGAATCTCAAGTTTACCAATATAAACAGTTCAGAACAAGACAGAATAAGAACAAGACTCTAATAGCCCTTAGAAAGTCTGATATTTAATTACAACTACTTATTTTATAGTGGACTGTTTTACTTGGCATTTTGCTGTCCCTGAACTGGAAATGTTCAGCATCCTTGTCTGCTACCTATTGTCCCAAATAAACTTAACATTATTAACTCCTTATAATAGTCCCCAAAGCCATTATACCTTGATTTCTATAAAAATTTTTTTCTACTTCTCCATATTCACTGATTAATCAAGATAGAAAAAATAATGATTTTTAAAATACCCAATACCGCAGCTACTATGAAGACAAACAATAAGTCTTGGCAAGGATGTAGGGGATAAGGTACACTCATACACTGCTGGTGGGTCTGCAAATTGTGCAGCCAATATGGAAAGCAATATGGAGATTTCTTGGAAAATTGGGAATGGAACCACCATTTGACCAAGCTATCTCCCTCCTTGGTCTATACCCAAAGGACTTAAAAACAGCATACTACAAGGATACAGCCACATCAATGTTTACAGCATCACAAGTTACAATAGCTAAATTGTGGAACCAACCTAGATGCCCTTCAATAGGGATGAATGGATAAAAAAAAATGTAGCATATATACACAATAGAATATTACTCAGCAATAAAAGAGAATAAAATCATGACATTTGCAGGTAAATGGATGGAGTTAGAGAAGATAATGTTAAGTGAAGTTACCTAATCCCAAAAAACCAAAAGCTGAATGTTTTCTTTGATATAAGGAGGCAGATTCATAATAGGATAGGGAGAGGGAACATGGGAGGAATAGACAAATTCTAGATAGAGCAGAGGGGTTGGAAGGGAAGGGAGGGGGCACGGGGTTATAAATGATGGTAGAATGTGATGATCATTATTATCCAAAGTACATGTATGAAGACATGAATTGGTATGAATATACTTTGTATACAACCAGAGATATGAAAAATTGTGCTCTATATGTGTAACAAGAATTGTAATGCATTCCGTTGTCATATATAAATAAAAAATAAAAATAAATTTAAAAAAATAAAATACCCTATACCAGCTCTGTTGGCATTGATACTAAATAAATATAAAATACTTGCGTGCTGACAACCTAAGAGGCAAAATTAGATGCCCATAAATAGCTATAATTGTTATAAGGACCATAAAGATTTATAGATAAAATGCCATGTGAGTTTGAAAACGATTTTTAAGAAAGCTTTTACAAAGTGAAAGGAGTTAGGCCCACAAGAATTTGGATATGCGAGATAAAGAGAATGCTATATTGAATGGACAACATGTACAAGAGTACTTAGAGAATACCGGAAGAAGCTCGGTTTAGTTGGATCATAGTCAATGTAAGACAGGAGAGATGAAATTTAGCCAGATCTTGGAAGGTTTTCAAAGTCATATAAAAGATTACAACTACTTATTTTACATAAAAGATTTTATATAAAACATTTTACACAAAAACATTTTATATAAAAGATTTTGACTTCACTTAGAAGAAAAGGATAACCAGTTTTCAAGAACAAATTATATTTTACAAAAGCAATTGTTTAAGAACAACAATAAAGGCCTAGCCTGAGACAGAGGTAGTAAGGATAGAAAGGAGGTAGACTTAATAAACATTTTTTTGTTTGTTTGAACTTGCTATGTTGCYTAGGCCTGCCTCAAACTCTGGGCTCAAGCAATCTTCCTGCCCCAGTCTCCAATGTAACTGGGACTCCAGCAGCATGCCACTACACCCAGTTTAAGAGACATTTTAGAAAGAGAAATGAAAGGATATGGTTAATAAGGTGCTGAATGAGTCTGAAAACAACAGGCAAGGTTTACAGTTTAGAATTTCTAGGAGTGTAGACCTTTGTGATAAACTATTCCTTGTACCTGCTCAGTGTCCAAATTCTAGCTACACTCTTATAATCTCTGAGTTTTCCCCATTCTCCCCCTACAGGTGAGGGTATTACCTTTGCCTCTGACTGCAATCAGCAATATAATCTATGTCTGTCCTAAGATCTGCAACTCTTTACCTTAATGCATTTACCTGTTTGCTGGCCTGAAAAATGCTTTCATATACGTATACCATCTGACCCTGAGAAAAAACTCAGGCAAGAACAAAACAAACTGTTATTTCTATTTTACATATGAGAAATGAAGTGATCTGCTTCATACCACAGAACCTAGATCTGAAGTTGATCTTCTTGCTCCAAGTTCATAACTGCCAACATCATGATGCCTTGTCTTATCTTCCCTATGAGACTGAACAGTTCCCCCAAAATAAAGTTTAATCTCTGCCCCATTTTTAATGATATTAGGCTAATTCAAATACATTAGAAATAATGTTATATTTAGATAAGCTTTTATACATAGAATGAATGGTAATTTTTAAACACAAGATTGTGAACCTTCATTTCAAGCCAGTAACCACTATCTGTTAGTAAAATCTTTTTTATTTTTTTAAAGGTCTTGTTTGCTAGATGCCTAGTTTGGACTCAAAACTTGCAATTCTTCTGCCTTAGCTTCCTGAGTAGCTTGAATTACAGGCATGTACCACCACACCCAGGTATAATATTATTATCTTTTAAAGAAAGTCTTGACACTGGAATCTTTCTTTAAAATTCTGATGTAAGTCAGCACAAGATAAATATTTACCTGATGTATTGCCAGACCCATGCATGCCAAGATTTTCTCAGGTGCATCCCTTAGTTCATTTGCTATATTTGGTATCAAATTAGTTATTTCATCATCTTTTGTCAATTCTTTAAAATCCACCAAAATACTTCCTTTTCTTTCTATTTCATCCTAGAAAAGATTAAAGTTTGAAAGTAACAATTGGTCTTTTAGAGTTAATTATCATAATTGAGCATTCAATTATACACTTTGAGAAAGCATACCATGTTTATATGGTGAAAATGCTAAGTACCATATAAGCTTTACACCAAGCACAGTCCTAATGTTTTCAATATATTAACTCACTTGTACTTCTTAACAATTCTTTGAGGTAGCTATTTATACTATTACTTCCAAATGACAGACAAAGAAAACTGTGGCACAGAGAAGTTAAGTAATTCACCAAAGTCCATACTGTAGGTAAGTGGCAGAGCTGGGATTTGTATGAAGGCAGTCCAACTCCAGTGCATATGATCATAATCACTAGCACCTCAAATATACTGTTCAATAAGATGACACATAAAGGTCAACAGGTAGTGTTACTGTAAGAAAATCTTACCTTATCATACAAGTCAATACGCCTTATAAAAAATTTTTCAAATGCTTGAATCTTCTCAATAAAAGGAGAGTTATCACTGTAAACTAATCCAACAAACATGGCATTAGCATTATGTTTTCATTAGATAACACTACAGACTTGACAGATTTTTTTCTTCCAGTTGCTCTGTACTCTGATTACACTTAAACAAGAACTAACATAAACATATACATAAGATTCTAAAACATGTTTAGGCCTGCATAATCCAAAATGCAGACAGGAAATCTCTCTAAAAAGCCCAATATCTGGGAAACCTTTAGAGGAGCCTTAGAAACCTAATTACATATATCAGTTCAAATAGCTTACCATCGAACCCAGGGCCTTGTGCCATACAATGCAAGCACTCCACCAACTTAACTAGATCCCCAGCCCCCATTTTTTTTTTTTAAACATCCTAAAGCTATATATTTTCAAGTACCCTCTCAAAGAAACAGGATAATGAAGTAATATAGAAGTACATCCGGTCAGGCCTAAGGCATCTCTTGCACTTTATTTTTAAGATCAGTCCCAAAATCTCTTATAGTGTTCTGAGGTTAACCACTAAGGGAATAATTGAAGTGTTGGTGACTAATGTATCCTGAAGCAACAAGACAATCTATGAAACACATGTGTCTATTTAATAGGGGGGGGAAAAAAAGACTGCCAATAAGGAAAACATTTGTAAAGCATCATTCATAAAATGAATCGTGGGTGTCTGGTATGAGGCAGGATCCTTGACTTCAAGCAGTGTAACACAGACACACACACACACACACACACACACACACACACACACATACACACACACACATATAAAACAAAACCTATATCTTATAAGAGAGATAACGAACACATAGATGTTACAAGAGCACAGAAAAGATAGACCCCCATATCCATACAGATAGATGTATGACAAAGATTGGTATTCAGAGATATTTCTTAACTGGTTTCTATGGAAATCTGTGTTGGTTACTTGCTCCTGGTTCCAGGTCTATCGTCTGTTTTCTGCTCTGATCAAGATCTGCACCCTACCTCCCAGATTCCTTTTAGGTTCTGCCAATTAGAGGCACTTCAAAAAACTGGAAGAAAGCAGGAAGTGGGAAAGGAATTTCTTCTTGTCTCCAATTCTTTTCAATATGTCTACAGCTGCAGAGAATAACTACAGTTCTAGCCTCCAGGTCCAAGCAACAACTAAGTCATGCCCCCTGAGTTACCAGTGACAACCAGTTTCATTTATATCAGTGGTCTGAGCACAGTGCTACAGTGTATCCCTCAGGAGCCTAAGTACAGCTTTATAGGGTACCCTTTAGAGGCCAAACAGCTATGCCTCTACCCTTAAATTCCTAGGTTCTGATAATCTCAGTATTTCTTAACTTCTGCTAAAGTTAAGAATGGCTACTGTTTCCTCAAATTACTACTTTCTGGGGTTTTACTTTGATCTCCCCTTTCTGCTCTTTCAGTTTTTCAACTGAATGTCCAATTTCTTATAATAAATCTCTCTTCTGAAATACCTAGTGTATTTTACCACCTGATATAAAACCTAAAAATAACGCTCTTTAATATAAACATGATTTAATTGAAAAAACAAAGATTAGGAAGTACGTAGCAGTAAGCCACATAAATCACAGAAACATAAGATGCAACAAAGACAAGTTAAGGAAATATAACTTATGGTACTTTTTGTACTTTCAATTCTACCTTCAGAGAAATAAAGCTTCCAGCCTTTATATGGTATGAATTGATCCAATGTTGACTGTAGTAGCAAAGGCTGTGGGATTTGTTCTGGAAAACAAAACAAAACAAAAACTAGAATGCTAGGTTAATAAAAACAAAGCAAAGCTTTTTTTTTTTTTTCCTCTCCAATTTGTTTCCCCTTTCAACAATGAAATGACATTAATAGTGCACCTAAAAAAGGTTTCTGGAAGAATTGTGCACATTAATTTTCAAATACTTGCTAAGGAGTAACATCAAATAAAAGATTGAAGTTTGAGCTAAATTACTTTGTCTGATAGGGATGAACTGTTTGCTTCATAAAGGAAAAAACAACAATCATTTTCTCACATGGTCATACATACCAGAGCTATTTTTTCCAATGGCTTTATTCAGGTTAGGTCTGTGTTCTCTTCCCCTCCATTTTCCTGAAAAGTTCCCACTACCTCTTCCTCTTCTCCAGCTTTGAAATCTTCCCCGTCCAAATCCTCTGCCTCTGCACTCACCACTCATGTCTTCTAATAGATATTAGAAAAGACTTCACCAAAACAGGAGGGAAAGTTGTGCTCTTAAAAATGTATTAATGTAGTACAAAACAGAAAATTTATTCTGCTTCTGAGTAGAATATAGGTTTACAAAGTTGTATACTATGGGAGAAAACTCAAACATTCTGCAATTACTCTTCCAATTTCCACCACTCTTTAAGGTATACAGTAGAAGTTTTATTAAGTACATTAAGTTCTCATGGAATAAGAATAAGGTACTATACTGTAACAGTTTTCAAGGAGCTTCCATGAGAGAAATAAAGATAAGACAAGTAATTAAGTCTAAGATGCCTGCTTGCTGTGTTTAAAACTTACTACAGAGCAGGAATAGTTGAACATAATTCTGAACTATGAGATACCAGGGAAACATCATCATAGCTCCAGTCCCACAGTATGATATCCATTTTCTGCACATTTTTTTCMAAAAACTAAAACTGTTCTTTAAAAAATTGTTCTACTTACAAAATTCCACATCCTACTGATACAAATAAAAATATATCTACACACTGTAGTGCAATTCATCACAAAGACCTTTACAAATCCCTATTTAAAGAGGGCTTAGTTAGTAAATAAGTTAATAACTAAAAAGTTCACGATTCTAGGGCACGACAGGTCTCTAATCATCAACCAGACATTATATACTGAGAAACTGAAGCTCAGAGAAATTAAGGAAACGAATGAAGATCAAACTTGTCTGGTGACAGTACAGCAGACAAACTGTCTTCAGACTCCCAAGCTGAAATGCTCCTTCAGATAACGCTACGTGCCATACCCTTCTCAAACGAGAAAATATGAGAATATTTTCTCATACAAACTTAAGAGGGCACAACACAAACTTAAGTTTTTCAAAACAAACTTAAGAGGGCAGCTGTGCGTCGTTAAATACTTCATTTACATCTCAGGCTGTTCTTACTTGCATGGGAGAAAACTCCGGGGTACCTGCTAATCCCAATGGCCTGATTCTCCCTCCCTCCTTGGTGGAAAGCACCAAGCCTCCAGCTCCTCAGACGACCCTTCAGGTCTTGAGTTTTTTCAGCCGTAGCTTTTTTGACGTCCCTGCGCAGGGCCGGATCCCTTCAGTCACAGCAGCTCAGGACCTTCAGTTTTTCCACTGCGACCTCGGGAAAGAACCCCGGAGAAAAGCGACCCAACAGCATCTCGAGACACTGTCCAGTCTCCCTCTAATTCTTTTTTGGCGCTTCCGTGACGCAATTCCGTTCCAGGTAGCGGCAAAACAAGAAGGAAAGGGCGAAGAGTAGCCAATCAAAGAATTCGGCCAGCCGGAAGTCGTGAAGCCCCCGGAAGCAAGGGACCGGACCGGAAAGCGGAAGCGGCGCACAGCACGTGGGGGCGGTGCCGGTCGGAGGGCTCCTGATTCCGGGGTGTTGTGGGGATTGAGGCTGGCGGCCGCGGCCGTGGCGCTTGGGACTGCAGGGACGCGGCGGAACACCAAGACCGGCTGAGCGTCATGGAGGGCTCAGGGGAACACCCGAGCCCACAGCCCCCGCATCCCGGGGATAACCGCATCCACGAGGGCGACTTTGTGGTGCTGAAACGGGAAGATGTGTTGAAAGCAGTGCAGGTCCAGCGGAGAAAGTAAGTCAGGTTGCTGGCCTTGGGGTCTCCCTCCCCACCTAGATATTCCCTCCCTTCAGATCTTCCCCAAACCCCTTCCTCCAGGATCCTATTCTTAACTCACTGGATCTCCATCCCCTGCAGTCGTTGCCTCTTCTCAAATGATCCTGTCACAGTGGCCTTTTCCTCCGAGATTCTTATCCAATCTCGACACTCAGGTTCTCCCATGTCCCTCCTACCTTCCCACAGAGTCCCCTTCTCGATTCCATACCCGGCGGTCTACCTTCGGCATCCTTTCCAGTTTTGCCACCGAGACCCTTCCCCAGAATCCCATTATTGGTCCTTGATTGATCAGTTTGAATGCTTCCCTCTCCACCGTCGTCGTCCCCGCTTCCCACCGCCTGGGTTTCTATCTTTAGGTTCTTAGGATCTGCTCTGTGTTCTTACAGACCCCCACTCTTTTCATCTGGGTTCTCATCCTTACTTCTCAGAGTCTCCTCCTTGCTTGCCCCCCTTTTCCTCACAGGTCTCCTTCCTTTTTATCCGTCAGCCAGGATCAGTTCACACCCCCACCCCCCCACAACCCCGGCCAAAAAAAAATGACCTCTTCTACCTAGCCTGGCTTTCTGGCTGGCCGGCCTTTTCTCTCTACCCAAACGGGAAAACCTGTCTACGTGGAATAAGGAAAGAAGAGAACTTCCTGTAGAGTATGGAGTCCAATGGGGCTTGCTTCATTTTTACACCAAAGTATTCAAATTCCAGAAAAGTTGAATTGCTCAAAAGCAATTTACTCAAGGTCTCAGAATTTATGAACCTGCTACCTAATATTCTGTGTTAGTACTAGTGAAGTAGGATTTTGATAACTCTGGCAATGACAATGGTGAGGTTGTTAAATTCTAATAGCTTGGTTGTACTGAGAAGTACAACCAAGTTATTTTTTGAGCTAGGTTATTATATTACTTTTTTGTTTGTTTGTTTGTTTGTTGCAATGCTGGTTATCAAACCCAGGGCTTCACACATGCTACGCAAGTGCTGTACTACTGAGCTACAACCTCAGTCTTATATCAACTCTTGACAAAGAAGTAAGGTGCAGGTTGAATGCAGTGGTAGGAGACTGCAGACCCAAAAGCTAGATTAAGTATTTTGAATTTCTGATAAATGTTTACTTCACATAAATTATTTTACTACTGTTTTCATCAAACTAGTATTTAAGGTGAAGCAGGTATCATTAAAAATTAGTCGATGTTTATAGCAGTTCAGTTCATAATAGCTAAACTACAGAACCAACCTAGGTGTCCTTCATTCACCAGATGAATGGAAAATGTGGTATATATACACAATAGAATATTACTCAGCCATCAAGAATGACTTTATGACTTTTGCTGGTAAGTGGCTGGATCTGGACACTATCATGCTAAGTGAAATAAGCCAGTCCCAAAAAACCAAAGGTCAAATGTTCTCTCTGATATGAGGATGCTAATATACAACAAGTGGATAGGAGGGAAAGAATAGAAGTTCAGTGAATTAGACAAAGGGGAATGAAGGGAAGGGAGAGAGATAGGAATAGGAAAGACAGTGGAATGAACCTGAAACAACTTTCCTGTGTTCATATATGAACACACCACTACCAATGAAACTCCATATCATGTAGAACCTCAAGAATGGTTTATTATTTAGATTTATTCTAAAGTTATATTCCATGTATGTATAATAAGTTATAATATACTCTATTTATGTATATCTAAAAAGAACAAATTTTTTAAAGACGGGGAAAAAATTGTGCCTGCTTCCAAGTGCATAATTTTTGGAGCTTTCCAATACTAATTGCTTGAACTTTTTCGTTGAAGAATAACAATTGAAGTATACAGTTTGATGATTAAGCCCAATTTACACATCTGTATAATAACTATCCAGGTGAAGCATTTTTACTTTTTTTTTCATACTATTCCTGTAAGTGCCTTAATTTTCAAGCATAGTTGTGTTTCTAACTATGTGCTCTTTTAAACAGGAGCTTTTTCATTACCAAGGAGATAGCAGCATCTTTAATTCTAATAGGTTCTCTTTAGGCCTGATTTGGAAACACTTGTTTTTGGTCCCTCTTGACAAAGCCATGATGTCTATTTTTAATTAGAAAATGACCCTCTGAGCTCAGTTGCATCCCAGGCCAGACTCCCATCATCTTTCACTCGTGGCTGCACTCATCTGGTTAAGTAGAAGTGGTTCTGCCTCTCTGAGAACGGCAAGCCCTACTCCTTCCCAGTGAAGATGGGGTGTCCACATCCCCTCTGACTACACATGCCCTTCCCACCTCCTGTATTGGCCTGTCAAACCAATCAGTTTGAGTGACACCCCTCCCTGCCTTTGCATATCAAGTAGACTGGGGCATAACTCACCCAAGCTTAGATCCATTGGTTCATTAGCACTAAAGTGTTTGAAGGATGAGGGTGGCGGATGTATATCAACTTCTCAGGGGGTTGTGTCAACAAATATTTTGAATATCTGGTATGTGTTAGTTTTGGGGGGACCCAGCGAAACATAAGAATTGGCCTTGTCTGGATCACTTGGGATCATGCCGTATTTCCCTCATGTGGTCAAGTAACATATAATGAAGATGGGACATGTACACATACAAAGGTGTGGGAGGATATAAGGAACCAAAAAAATGAAGGTGATATACCTGGGAACTAGCAGTGGTGGGAAGCATTTGATGAGAACCCAGGTGATACAGCATGCATTGTGTTACACTCCAGGAGCTCAAAGGAAGATAAGGAGTGAAGGAGGGCACAAATAGGACAGGCACTACATCTCCCAAAATTCAGAAATTTTTGGATGTGGGCTGGGCCCTGAAGCTCAATGGTACTTCCTAAGGTCATTTGGCCTTTGCTGAGAAATATTGTGTAATATATTGGAATTAACTAGACCTTGAGGTCAGACAGACCTGAATTTGTATCCTAGCTCTAGCACCTTGTAACTCAATCTTGAACAGAACATTTTTCCCTAAGCCTCAGATTTCTCTTTTGGAGAGAGCTGTGTCCCAGGATTAGTATGAGAATTAAAAAGCATAACATACTGCCTAATCTCTGGTTGATGTTCAGCAGCAGGTATCAGTTTTCTTCTTTTGAAAGGAAAGATTTTTGTTTTTATGGGATTTCCCCTCCTAACAGTAAGATACAAATCTGGATAATAAGAAAATCTTTCCTGGTCCACAGTCACAGTAGAGCATTGTCAGTGTTAGATTCCATTTCCAAATGTATAGAAATTATAGATTGCCACTAATGTTTATTTGAAATGTGATTTGCTCGTATTAGATAATTTTTCAGTAAAGTGGCTATGTAGACCAAGACCAAGGAGTTCCTTGGTCTTGATTGTAATCCTTGTCATCTCAGTGATTGTTCTGTTTTGAGACTTGTGAGTTGTGAGGGGTGTCACAGTGCATGTCCAGTGACCTGGCAATCTTGGTGACCATGTGTATTATTCAGGAATCTGCAGAGCCTATGAGGTTGGACGTCCTGGTAGACAGTACAAAAGGGGCTCAGATGATGCCGTAGAAGAGAAACATCTTTTGTCTTTGCTTCCTCTTTCCAAAATTCAGTGTTTTCCTGGCTTCTTTATTAATTTTATGTCTCTGCCCCAAACTCGTTTCCTGTAGTTTGTCAGTTTGTGCTGTTGATCATCCGTTGAGGAGACCACTTTTGAAATAAATTAGAATGAACAGATTTTTCTTGACTGAATACAAAAGAAATCAGTTAATTAATTGCTTTTTCTTCCCCCAGGAAAGTAACTTTTGAAAAACAGTGGTTCTACCTGGATAACGTGATTGGCCATAATTATGGAGCCACATTTGAAGTGACTAGTGGAGGAGGTCTTCAGCTCAAGAAAAAGAAGGAAGAGCCTACTTCAGGTGCACCAATTAGAACTGTGTCTTGGTGGAATGAAGCAAATACTTCTTTCAGCAATGAAATAACCTGGATTCTGGCTCTAGCCCACTATTAACTGACTCCCTAACCTTGAACCAGGCAGTCAATCCCATGAGTCTTGCTGTTTTGTTGCAAAAAACTTTTTCAGTATCCAAAAGCTAAGAAACTGGTGCAGAGTCATGGATAGGATGAAGATTAGGATCTGGCTTTGAATAAAGTGGCTAGGTTTAGTGCCTGCTTTATTACTTGACTTGCAACTTCGGGCAGATGATTTGATTTGTGTGATTCTGATTCATTAAGTGGGGACATAAACATGTTTAATGCCTAGGTTATGATGCGTGTTTAGTGACATAGCCTTCTTAGGAAGATTCCAACAGTGCCTTGCCTATAGTCAGGTCCTATAATTTTAGCTATTATTAACTGAAGATAAATTCTTGCTTATTTAAATAAACATTTCCAGTAAAATATATTTAAATAATTACTAAAAGTTAATTTAAATACTGTTAAAGTTCTAAGCCAGAACAATTAGATACTTTAAAATTAACATCTGTATTTTTATTAAGTACCAAATAGGTGCCAGGCGTGATTAGGGAACTAATCATGCCTGGCACCTATTTGGTACTTAATAGCAATTTATTTTATTTTTTATTTATTTATTTTTTAAATATTTTTTAGTTGTAGATGAACACAATGTCTTTATTTTATTTACTTATTTGTATGTGGTACTGAGGATCGAACCCAGCCCCTCACGCATGCAAGGCAAGCACTGTACCACTGAG